CCTTCCTTCCTTCCTTCCTTCCTTCCTCTCTTATTTCTCTCTTTCTTTTCTTCTTTCCTTTCCTTCCTTCCTTTCTCTCTCTTTCTTTCCTTCCCACCCTTCTTCCTTCCTCCTCCTCCCTTCTCTCTTTCCCCCGCTCATGTCTACCCACCTGTCTGTCTGACAAATTTATATGGTTTCATTTAACTCCAGCTCTCCCATTCTTGACTCACTCTTCGTCTAAAAAATCAATTGCTTGCAGCCCCAGAAATGATGGTTGAGATGTACATACCTCTATAAGTTTACATCTCCTTTGTACTTTAAAAATAATTTATATCTTTCCTAACACTCTTGGGCATTTGGGGGATAAGTCGCTCGGGTAAAACAATGGCTTCATAAATTTGTCTGCCACGTACTCTTTCGCTCGGTGTAAAAACATTGCCTTTGTGTCTGATTTGATCAAGTGCTAAATTCCAAATTATGTTGGCATAGAGCGAGGCTGGGCAGGACCAGAAGCAAAGAGTTGAAAACAAGGCTGGCCTGTTACGAGAACAATACCGAGGTGCCAACCATTCTTCTATGAGAAGTGAATCATTTACGAGGGTGCCAAGCTGGGGAACAGAAAGAGGTCCATATAAAACCAACCAGAATACAGCTGGAAGGGACCTTGGAGGTCTTCTAGTCCAACCCCCTGCTCAGGCAAGGAACTTATTTCAGACAAGTGGCTGTCCAGTCTCTTCTGAAAAACCTCCAGTGATGAAGCACCCACAACTTCTGGCGGCAAGCAGTTCCACTGGTTAACTATCCTCATTGTGAGGAAATTCCTCCTTAATTCCAGGTTGCTTCTCTCCTTGACTAGTTTCCACCCATTGCTTCTTGTCCTGCCCTCAGGGGCTTTGGAGAATAAGTTGACCCCCTCTTCTTTGAGGCAACCCCTCAAATATTGGAACAACTGCTATCATGTCACCCCTAAGTTCTTCTCTTGGTTAATCTCGGTTTAAAAACAGTTTACATCGCCCTCAAAAACCAAATCCATTTCCCAACCTCCAATTGTCGGCAACAGTCTATATTTCCACTTCTTAAATTTTCTATGCGATGAGGTTATCAAAAAAAAAACCAAAAAAACCCAAACCCCACTGCCCTCCCTTCAAGGTCTTAAAATTCGCAAAAAGCCGTCTTCACGTTCCGATTTCAGAAACGCGCATGCGAGATTATTTGGGCCGGCTGCAAGTAAATGAATTCGCCTTGAACTTGGTTATTTTATTTTATTTATTTTTTTGGTGTAAAAAGACACACAGAGGAGAGAAAACAACGCCAGGCTTGTTAGCATCCAGGATCCTGTAATTTAAGCAGAGCGAGCAACCGAAGGGAAGCCTGCAGAAACCCGATGCTCGGCTGTTGCAAATAGTTGGAGCGGGCTTGGTTTCTAGACTTGATTCCCACAGGAAAATCGATGTCTTTGGAGTGATTTATGGCCGAGTAACAAGAGAGTTTAGAGCGGGATTAGAGGAGCATTAATTTACTTACATGCTTGGGGGGGGGGGGCTGTTTTAAGCAAAAATGTTTAGGCATCCCCCCCCCTTCCGGTGACCTCTGCTGACCTCTTACACTGTCACACTCTCCAACCCAAGGGGGAATTTAAGGAAAAAAAAGAAAAAAGAAAAGAAATGAGCCTATGAGGTTGAACTGGTCAAGCATTTCTTCCTGTCTTCCTTGTTTGTTTTTAATTTCCGTCCCTTAACAGGATTTAGGAAATTTTATTGATTTATTTTTATTTTATTTATTTGTTGGTCGAGTATGCATTAGATAACAGATATAAGTATAAACATGATACTATGTTTATACTTATGATGATTATTAAGTGTTGTACCTGATGATTCTGGACTCTTGACGAATGTATTTTTTCTTTTCATGCACACTGGCAGCATTTGCACCAAGACAAATTCCTTGTGTGTCCAATCACACTTGGCCAATAAAGAATTCTCTTCTCTTCTCTTCTCTTCTCTTCTCTTCTCTTCTCTTCTCTTCTCTTCTCTTCTCTTTCTCTTCTAATTCTTCATTCCAATATCTATTCTATTGTATTCTATTTCTATTCTATTCTGACTATCACTAGGTATTGTATCTTATGATTCTAGATGAATGTATTTTATTTTTTATCTTATGTACACTGAGAGCATTTGCACCAAAGACAGATTCCTTGTGTTCCAATCACACTTGGCCAAGGAAGAATTCTCTTCTCTTCTCTTCTCTTCTCTTCTCTTCTCTTCTCTTCTCTTCTCTTCTCTTCTCTTCTCTTCTACTCTACTCTACTCTACTCTACTCTACTCTACTCTACTCTACTCTACTCTATATACATGAAATGGATAAGAATAAAAAGGAGACATTAGGACAGGGACGGTAGGCATGTTGGGTGCTTATGCACGCCCCTTGCAGACCTCTTAGGAATGGGATGAGGTCAACAGTTGATAATTTTATGTACTACGCTTAGGTCAGACAGAAGGCGGTGTAGTTCTAGGTTGTCTAAGCCTAAAATTTCAAGTCAGGAGGCATAAGGTATTCTGTTGCAAGTAGAGGAGTGGAGGACTCTTCTCATGAAATATCTCTGGACTCTCTCGACTGTGTTAATATCCGATATGCAGTGCGGGTTCCAGACTGATGAGCTGGATCCGAGGATTGGTCTAGCACAATCAATGGAAAGATCCTGTTGTTGGATAGCTGTTGTGATTTGCCGGTAGCCTGTGCACATGGCAGCAGAATCGGACAGTGGGGAAGAACGGGGACCAGTCCAGGAGTCTGGAGAGGAGTCTGATGAGAGTCCTGCATCTGCTGCAGGGATGGGGCCAGGACCATCTGGGAGTGGAGTGCTGCCTCCGGAGCCTCTGGAGTCTGGCAGTAGCGAGGAAGAGGAATAAGGGGAGCCTGTTCCCAGTGCGTGTGTGCACAGAGTTTCCAGAAGGCAAGAGCAGCTAAGAGAAAAGGGGCAACTCAGGAGTAAGGCTTGGAGGTGATTGCCTCTCCCGTAAGGGATTAAGGACAGTAAAAGGGAGAGAAACCTTTGCAGGAAGCAAGGTTGTTCGCTCTGTTCAGATTAAACCTGGAAGCTCTGTGTGGACTTTGTGCTCCATTTGGCTTTTTATAATTCATTTGGCACTTTAGTTGTTGGCAGCAATTCAAAGGAGAGAAAGGTGGGTGCTTATCTCGAGGGACTGTTTGGGACAGGCTAGGAATGAACATAATTCCCAGCATTGAAATAAAATGAGAGTTGTTTTAACTAAGCGTGTGCTTAATTATGGTCTCAGGAAGCCTTGGTCAGAATAAGTGTTGTGTTTAAAGGTGCAACGACTTACGTCCGAGTGTCACACTCACCACCATGGCAGCATCCCCGTGTGTGTGTGTCATGTGATCAAAAATTGAGAGGCTTGGCAACTGGCCTGTACTTTTGACAGTTGCAGTGTCCTGGGGGTGTGGGGGGGGATGGTTGGTCACGCCACCCCCTTTTTGCGACCTTTGGACACTTCCGATTCACTTAACAACCAGGTGACTAACTTTAACAAACGGTGATTCACTGAACCGCAGTGGCAAGAAAAGGTTGTAAAAAAAAAGGGCAAACCGTCTCGCTCAGCGACGGAAATTTTGGGCTCAAATGGCAGTCGTTAAGGCGAGGACTAACGGGGAACCAGTCATGGAAAATATATGCTTCTCTATCCATGGAACCTGGAAGGAACAGAGACCGAAGAAGATTTTTCAAGAATCAGGAGCTGGCTGACCTATGTTGCTTTTTCCTCTTTTTAGGGGAAAGAAATTATGCAAGATGAGACAAACAGATTTCACGTTCACAAGGTAGAAAACTTGCTGAGTTTCCTTCCGAAGCAGGATAGAGGGAAAAATATTTGAAAAAATATCTGAATGTGCAGAAATGACAAGATTAACATTAGAAATCAAAGAAAAAGAAGACTCTGAATATTACATGGTATGGGACTGTGTTTTATAAATGGCTGGAAAATAAAATTAATTAAAAGGGATTAGACATCATTACAAAGCAATAAGAGAAACTAGTGTAATAGATATACTGTATTTTACTTCTGTTATACTGTATATATGGGAATGTGATTATTATTATTATCATCATCATCATCATTATTATATGGCTATACTGTTAAGAAGAATATTATTAGTAATTGTTAAGCACATGAAATATGTACCTAATCAACACACGATTGAAATTGAATGGATTTATTGTATGTTAAAAAAAATTAAAAATATAATTAAAAAAACAAAAACAAGATGGAAAACTTTGCTGAGTTTCCTGCCGAAGCAAAATTTAAATCATCCGGACAATCATTTAAAATAAATATAAACAACCTTTTTAATTACATTGGTCTACAAGAGTAATAAAATTTAACGACTGCAACTCAGTGAAATGCATATTTAATTATGGATCATCTAACTATTTTTCCATGCTTGTCGGTCCCTTAAGGAGAAAGGTGCGGTATAAATCAGAGAAACCAACAAACTGCACACTCATCTGCGCCCAGCGAATAAAAACATTTCAATTAAACTCAGGCCTGCAGTATATTAAAAGAGTCAAATCTGCCCTTTGGCCTTCCTATTTATAGGAGATGGACCAGACAGGGCCCAGGGGTGTGGTCAAAGGCTTCATTTCCCACACTATTTTTGTAATTGTCTATTTTAACACAACAGGCAAGGCATTCATTCCCGGGCCGATTCGTCCTTCTATCTTCTGGAGAAAAAGGGCTGATTTATTTTATTTTATTCAGATGATTTGATGACAGCCATGGAGAGAATTCAGATAGGATAGCAGCGGTGGGATTCCATTTTTTTTTAAATTACAGGTTGTGTGGTTGTGGCTTGGTGGGCGTGGCTTGGTGGGTGTGGCAGGGGAAGGATATACTGCAAAATCCCCCTTCCCTCCCCCACCCCACTGACCTGCTTTCCTGCTCCGTTCTCCTGGGCAGGGCAACCAAAGGAGACCCAGCCGATCAGCTGGGACTCGATGGGAGGCAGAAAAGAGATGGGGTTGGCGGGGCCAGTCAGAGGCGGGATTGGCCGGTTCTCCAAACTACTCAAAATTTCCACTCCCAGTTCTCTAGAACTGGTCCAAACTGGCCGAAGACCACCTCTGGAGGATAGCCATACCCTCTGAAAGGATCACGTTGGGCCCAACTAACCTCAAGGGTAGGATTAGAAGCATCTCTGCTGCCCCACCAACGTTCCCAATATAAGAATGGATGGAAAGCGATGGGAGTTAGCAGAGGGCAAAATTGTCTGCTTTAATTAGAGAAAAGATCCCATCCAGCTTTGCTTCTACTTGGAAACCATTTCTGGACTTTGTGCTTGAGACAGGAAAAAAAAAACTGACATTGAGTTTTGCTGATTTGTACAGTTGGTTGTTATAGAATTGTTGTAGTATTTGTTAAATTGGTGAAGTTAAAAAAATGGAGGTTGTAATTTTATTCTGTGGTTATTATCCTCAAAAAGTTGGATCTTTTCTTTCCTTTTCCTTCCTTTCCTTTCTTTTCCCCTTCCTCCTTTCCTTTCCTTCCTTTCCTTTCCTTTTCCATTCTCCTTTCCTTTCCCCTTCCTCCTTTCCTTTCCCCTTCCTCCTTTCCTTTCCATTTCCTTCCTTTCCTTTCCTTTCCTTTCCTTTCCTTTCCTTTCCTTTCCTTT